TACTTCCGTAGTGATACTGCCTCGGAAACCCAAGGAGGGGTCACTATGAGTCGGGGCCGACTCAACGGCACATAACAACAACAACAACAACAACAAAATGTTTCTGGTTAAAGATTTTCCTGGAGGCTACTAGAACTCTGGCTTCAGATTGACTCACAACATCTCCTGGAGGGACGACCCTGTGTGAAATATGAAGGCAGGTGACAAGTGGCCATGTCTAGTGTGCCTGAGGATGATCTGTGAGGGTGACACTAGAAGATGACACCTGAAAGTGGCACTTGAGTATAAACACATGGGTGATACCTGAGTGAACATGAGCAGTGACACCTGAGAGAGAGAATGAGTTGTTTCAAGTCAATAAATGTTTATGAGGGCAATGTGCCAGATATTCATAAGTTATATTAACTCTCCACCTTGATCCCAGCTGGTTTCCTTCTTGCACGCCATCATATGTATTGCAGACTGTGGGTATCAATGACAATAATACCTATTCTCTCTCCAAGACCTGTATGTTGATCAACAATAAATTTATTCTTGTCTTTCTTTTTAAATATTCTTTTTTTTTTCTTTCTATGTTTCTTAGGAAACATATTTTATGATAGGCTAGTGTCATAAACTTTTTCAGGGTAGACAGTTGACATGCCACCAGCCTGCCCATTAGCACATTATGGCCCATAGCAAAGGGAAAGGGACTTTCTCCTAGTCATTGCTCCTTTCCCATTCAATTGGGCTAAGCTCTGGTAGCATAGTGGCTAAGACACTTGCCTGCTAACCAGACGGCTGGCGGTTCAAACCCACCAGCCACTCCTCGGAAGGAAGGTTGGGCAATCCTACTTCCGTAGTGATACTGCCTCGGAAACCCAAGGAGGGGTCGCTATGAGTCGGGGCCGACTCGACGGCACACAACAACAACAACAACAACAATCTACAGGAACCAAAGTATCATGAGGATCATATCTGCCTGAAACTCCTGGTCAAAGGAAGAAATAGCTGGGGGAGGAGGGGATAAGGGGACCACAGGAACAGGTATGCGAAAAGCAATTTCCTTAGGATTCCACAATGGAGGGAGCTCTGTCTGGGGCAGGTTAAGAATGGTCATAGCCTCAGGGGAGCACCTTCAACAAATCCCACACTTTTGTTCTGTCCCTGCTTTTGTAAACACTAGACAGGGATTCTTAGCTCTTAGATGACCCCTTAAAACAACCACACTCAGGTGCTACCTCAGGATTTGAATCCCAGGATAAGGAATTTGAGAATCACACAAACACAAGGTCCCAGCCCTTAAGCAAAATTTAAAAAGAAGCCCTAGAAAGAAAAAGAGACACACCAGTGGTGGCCACCTTGCCATTTCAGATAGCTATGTCCCAACTCTTAATTTTGAAAAAAAAAATAACAAAATTTCCCATAAATCATGTTATCTGACATTTAAATACAGCCTTTTAAACACCTAACTTTAAGTAAAAGGGGCTCTGGTGATATACTGGGTAAGGCATTTGGCTGCTAACCAGAAGGTCAGTAGTTCAAACCCATCAGCTGCTCCACAAAGATTCCGTAAAGATTTACAGCTTTGGAAACGTAGTGGGAGTTGCTATAAGTCAGAATTGACTCGATGGCAGTAGGTTTGGTTTGTTTTTTTTTTTAAGCAAACTACCACAGAAAATACTGTCATAAAAGTATCAATTCATTCAATAATATGAGTCTTTTTTCTTACTTTCTTAAGAAAAATTACCTGTCAATCTACAGTATAGGTAATGTAGCATGGTAAAAAAGGGTACGGCTTCAGAAGAAGATCAGTCCAGGTTGGAACCCTGGCTTTGCCAGTCTTAGCTATGTGATCCTTGGCTGTCACTTAATTTTAGCCCCAGTTTTCTCATTTGTAATATGAAGTTTACAATATTTACCTCATGATGATTTTGTGGTGATTAAATGGGGTAAGAATTATAAAAAGCCCCTAGGTAGTAAGTACTCAGTAAACATTTGCAATATTATTAGAATATAGTGAGAAGGATGGCAGGAAAGAAGAGTAGGATCAGCTAGAGAGGCTTTAACTTCGGTGCCCATGGAAGGCATTTCTACAATGCCAAATCCAATTGTCCTCCTTGGTCCATTGAACTCAGTCAAAGACTGGCATTTTTCCCTGGAGGGGTATACTGGGAAACTGGTCTATTGATAGGTAGGTCTTGTCAAGTACCTAGCCTGTGCTTCTAGTATTCTCCTTTTACTCTAGCCAGGACGGCTGGTGAGAGATACAGAAGAATGATTACTATGACAGCACATTAGAATCACTGAGGGGAGCTTTAAAAATACCCTTCCCTCATATATAGCTGGTAAGAATGTAAAATGGTATATTAACTTTGAAAAACAGTCTGGTGGTTTCTCAAAAGATAGGACCCAGAAATTCTACTCTGTGAATATACCCAAGAGAGCTGAAAACATGTCCAAACAAAAACCTGTATGTAAGTGTTCACAGCAGTGTTATTCATAATAAACAAAAAGCAGAAATCTACAAGTCCATTAACTGATGAATGGATAAACAAAGTGTGGTGTATCCACACAACAGAAAGTGATTCAAGTATAAAAAGGAATGAAGTACTGATAGATGCTATATCATGTATAAACTTTGAAAGCATGCTAAGTGAAAGGACCATATATAGTACGATCTCATTTATATGAAATGTCCAGAATAGTCAAATCCATAGAGAAAGAAAGTAATGGTTGTTGATGGCTAGGGGAAGGGAGAAATGGGAAGTAACTGTTAATGGGTATTGAAGTTCCTATTTGAGGTGATGAAAATGTTCTAAAATTAGATAGTAGTGATGGTTGTACAACTTTATAAATATATTTTAAAAATCACTGAACTGTATGCTTTAAAAGGCTGAACACTATGGTATGTGAATTCTATTTCAATCTAAAATGATAATAGTACCCATGTCTGGGATGCACCCGAGAGATTCTGATTTAAATTATTCTGAAGAGGGCTCAGATATTAAAGGGCATTATGATGAAATTGGTAAGACAAGCCACAGAATGAGACAACATGCTATGACACAAACAACTGACAAAGTACTCACAATTAGAATACTGATTTCTTAAAAATCAGTAAGAAAAAGACAGAAAACCCCAAAATGAAGAAAAGACCCAAATTGGCACTTTCTAAAAGAGGAAATCCAAATTATCATTTAAAATATGAAAATACAGTCAATTTCAATCTCAATAGGGAAATACAAATTAAAACCACAGTGAGATATTCGAAGACTTCCACACTGGCAAAAATTTTTCATCTATCAATAGAAAGTGGTGGCTAGGATGTAGAGCAGTGGGACTGTTCACATACTGCTTATGGGAGTGCACAGTGCTTTGGAAAAGAGTTGATATTATCCAGTAAAGTGGAAGATACACATGTCCTCTGACCCAACAATTACATGACTAGGTATATATCCTATTCAGTGCCTGTGTAGTAAAATACATGTGTAAAACATTCAGGTGCCTTGTTCATAACAGCCCCCAAATGGAAACAACCCAAATGAGCATTAACAGTAAAACAAATAAATAAATTGTTGTATATTCACATAATGGAATACTATACAGCAAATTAAAAAGTGAACAAAACTCTATATGTAAAAAAAAAAAAAAAAGGAAATCAAAGCATAATATTGAGTAATAGAAGCAAGATATAAAAGAATACATTCAGTATGATTCTATTCACAAAAAGTTCAAAAACAGGCAAAAAGTATGTTATATAGTATAGAGTTGACTACATAGGTGGTAAAACTGTAACGAAGAACAAGGAAATAATAAATATGAAAGTGAGAATACTGAAGGGGTCACACAATGGGCTTGTGGGATGCTGAAATACTATTATTTTTTGATCTAGGTGGTTGATTGCAAGAGTGCTTATTTTGTAATTATACTGTAAACATTGAGGTTTATGTACTTTTCTGCACAGTGCCATTTTTCACAATAAAGGCTAAACAATTTTTTCAAGTAAGGAATAAAGTTCCCTAATGATGTAACATATAGCCAGGTTTGAGGACCACTGCATTAAAAAGGAAGGTTCACCAGAAATATATTTGTACATAAGCTAATAAATACCCCAAACGGGGGAGGGGGAAGCTAAATATTCTACACTGTTAATAGCGATGAGTGAGGGGGTTGTGTGCAGTACGTTAGATACTTTCTATATTCTTATATATTTCTATAATGTTTATATTTTAATAATGAGCATATACAGTTATCATAATATAAGGATATTTTTTAATAAAATAAGATTTAAAAATATCTTTGGAAGGATACAAAAAAAAACTAATAAAATCAGCTGCCTTGATAAAAGGGAACTGGCTTGGGAACAGGAATGGAAAGGATATTTTCATTGTACCTTTTGAATTTTGAACCTGTGTCAAAATATTACCTATTAAAAAGTTTGTTTAAAATAAGAGGCAGAATATTTTTCACCAACCTTTCCCAGAGCCATTGCTATAGAAATACATATTAGTAGTCTTGGAAACTGGCCCCAGGGAATCCCCTCATGCATTAGCTTCTCCCACATGCCACCTCCCACCATGGCATTCAGACATAAACCATACAGAGAAAACAAGCTATCCTCTCAGAAGAGGACTCACATTTTACAAATGAGAGGTGTTGTGCTTGTCATTGTCTTTTACCTAAATCTGAGTCCATCGCTTACTAGATAGCAAAACAAACATTTTCTCTGTATTGCTACAGTGGGGTAGTAAAGAAGGAAGAGTTACCTCTAAAAGGAGCTCCACAGTATCCACTTGAAGCTCTTGAAGTCCCACTATCTGTACCATGTGCTTGCTATCTTCTCTTGCAAAGAGCCTGCAGATGCAAGAACACAGTTGTTACGGCAGGGCTATTATAATGGACTTTGTTTTTGCCTCCCCAGAAACTATTCCATCACTTCCCCATTAAGTAGCAGCTTTGCTGTTTGGATAGGTTTGATGTACAACCCGCCACCTCTTGCCCCCTGTCCCTGGCTTCAGGAATGGTCCCTGATGTTGGAGCATATTTGGCTACAATTAAAAGAATGAATGAGCACATAAATCAGAACTATACCATCCGTGGTGATGCGCTCCTGGCTAATGATTGTTCCAGAGGTGGCTAAGGGACCTCTGCTGATCCAATCAAAATGAAATCCTGGGTTGTGTTAAGTCCTTGGGGAGCAGTGGTATCTCTTTCTCTCTGGAACTGAAAGCATGTAGCTTCAGGAGCATTTTACATCCAGAAAGGTAGCCAGTTTCATCAAGACGCTAACTCCACAAAAGGTAGAGTAGAGAGATGCAAAGAATGGGTCTTTATAACATCCCTTAGTTGCTGGAATAAACTGAGCCTGAAGCCTACCTGCTCTCTAGGCTTTCTGGTGATATGAGTCGATGACTTCCCCAGATGCTTAAGCCAGTATAAGTGGGGTTTTCTTTTCCTTACATAATGAGTTCTGATACATCTTGTTAAGGGAACAAGGAAGAGCTGGTACTGCAACTGAATGCCTCAACCTTTCAGTAGTATTAATGGTTAAGGTAATGAATGGTTATGATCTACCAATCAAAACCCATTGCTGTCAAGTCAATTCTAAGTCCTAAGTGACTTTCTAGGACAAAGTAACCAAAATGCCAAACCAAAATCATTGACATCAAGTCAGATCAGACTCATAAAAACCCCTCCTTGGGTTTCCAAGGAGGTATCACTATGGAAATAGATTGCCCAACCTTCCTTCCAAGGAGTGGCTAAGTGGGTTTGGATCACCAGCCTTCTGGTTAGCAGAAGGCATAGCCTTAGGTACTGTGCCACCAGAGCTCCCAGGACAGAGGAGAACTGCCTTATAGTTTCCAAAGCTGTTTATCTTTATGGAGGCAGACTGCCACATCTTTCTCCCACTGAGGAACTGGTGGGTTCGAACAACCAAACTTTCAGTTGGCAGTTGAGCACTTTAACCACTGTGCCAGCACGGATCCTTTCTATAGTCTACCATCATCACTAAATCAGATATGCAGAGGAGGCATGTGTTGATTATTATCAAAGAACCTAAGATTCTTTTTCCCTCTTATTAAGACACTGATTAAGAGTAGAATTCTACTTCATACCCAAAAAAGAAATTATTTTCTTAAAATAATTTTTTTTTTAGTCTGGGCTTCACCTGAAGTTTCCAAATTTTTATCAAAGAAAACAGCCTCACAAAGGCACATGACCTATCAGAAAACAACTCTATTAGAACAGTCAGGTGTGATAGCTGGGATTGTATGTCAACTTGGCGAGACCACAATCCTGAGTGGTTTAAGCAGTTGTGATATGGGTTATTCCCATGATGAGATCGGATGTATATGTTTTGAGCAGCCAATCCGCTGAAAGGGAGTTTCCCTAGGGGTGTGGCCTCCTTCCAATAGATTTATGAATATCCTGGGAAAAGAAACACTCTACTGTGGATTGGGATCCTGTTGTGCTGCCTACAACTGTCCGTGAGCAAACAATCCACCATTCAGCCTGGTGATCTTGGATTTGTCATCCGTAGCAGTCAATAGCCAGTATACTGCCTGCCAACCTTGAGCTAGTCAGCCCCTGCAGCTGCAGGAGTCGGGAAAAGCCTCCAGCTTGACATTTGATCCAAGAACTTGGGACTTGCCAGCTTCTATAAGTGTGTAAGCCATTTTCCTAAGATAAATTTCTCTCTCTCTCTCTCTAAGCTTTACTGGTTTTGCTTCTCTAGAAAATCCAGCCTAGCACGTTTGGTACCAACAGTGGTTCTAGAAAGACAAAATCATAAGGATGGGTTTCCTAAATTGGTTCTCATTGATTCTGTTTTGATTCTCCAATTTGATTAATCATAAAGGCACTGGTGACTATGCCTCCATGAGCAAAGAGGGGCCTGCTAATCTGTGGTGTGAGATGGCAACATTAATATGCAAAATAGCACCACCAGACCAGGTTTGCTGGTCTGATAGAGCCTGGTGGAACCACTGAGACTATGGTCCCTAGCTGCCCCTTAGGTCTGGAATTGAACCCACACCTGTGGCTTCCAAACAAACAAAAGACAGGTATATGAGTTGAACATTTACCTGAGGTAGACACACTCCTTGGAGAGAACAATCATGAGAGAAAAAAGGGCTGTTGATGCACAGGGAGACAGCTCAGGGGGCAGGAGTGCATGGAGGGATGGACACAGGGAAGAGGTAACTATGGGGAGGAAGTTGGAGGGGAGCCTGTTGCACTGTGGTAAATTGTAGTCAATGTCATGAGACAAAGTGTATATGAACTGCTGTATGGAAAGTGAACTTGCTCTGCAAACTTTCACCCAAACCACAATTAAAAGAAATCAAACAACATATTGCACTGGGCAAATATGCTGTAGAAGACCTCTTTAAAGTGTTAAAAAGCAAGTATGTCACTTTGAGGACTAAGGTGTGTCTGACCCAAGCCATGGTATTTTCAACCACTTTATATGCATGCAAAAGCTAAACAATGAATAAGGAAGAACCAAGAACTACTGATGCATCTGAATTATAGTGTTGGTGAAGAATACTGAATATAACATGGACTGCCAGAAGAATGAACAAATCTGTCTTAGAAGAAGTACATCCAGAATGCTTCTTAGAAGTAAAGATGATGAGACTTTGTCTTGCTTACTCTGGACATGTTACCAGGGGGGACAGACAAATCACTGGAAAAAGACACCATGCTTGGTAATGTACAAGGTCAGTGGAAAAGAAGGAAACCCTTAATGAGATAGACTGATACAGTGCTACAATGGGCTCAAACATACCAATGAATGTAAGGATGGCACAGGACCAGGCAACATTTCGTTCTGCAAAACACAAGGTCGCTATGAGTTGGAACCAACTCAAGGGAACTTCAACAACAACATTATTACAATAATAATTATAATTGTTTGAAAAAAAAAAAATAGCACCACCAATAGATCAAATACTTTTGAGAAGTGAGGCTCTGGGTGATCACATATTTTATATTTTCTGCAATTTTTTCAGCATGAGGAGTATAAGGAAGCTGGTTGGTTGGTCCTACTTATGCTAGACAAAGTGGTGAAAGAACAAGATGAGTTCAGGGCTGCAGAATCACAGCTCAAGTGCTGTATAAAAGACCTCAATGTTTCCAGTTGTGCTCTGAGAGAAAGCCTTATTTCTTCTAGTAACAAAACCAATATTGCTGAAAAACAAACCCAGAGTCTTATTGTAAGTGTGCCTGAATTACAACGCCAATTGAATTGCCAACCTAGAATGGTGTCTGAAGTTAAAGTGAGGGCACTGATTGGGAAAAAATGGGATCTTGAAACCTGGGATGGGGACATATGGGCAGACAGTCAGGAAGATGAGGATATGGAGTCTATAAATTCTGTTGAATCCCTCCTGCCAACAGCACCATCCCTCTCATCTGAAGGGATTATGATTACTATAAAACCATTATCCCTTCCACCTCCATTTGATGGGCTTAACCCAACTGTTCCTGCTGGGTCACTGCCTGAGGTAGATGCCATGAAAGGCATGGCTGAATGTCCTCAGGAACTGCCCCAACTACCCATTGTTGCTGCTAAACCTATAACTAAATTTAAGTCCAAATGAGCCCCAAAATTTGAAATAAAAAATGTGACTGAGGAAGCAGCATGCTACACCCAAAAAGAACTACTTGATTTTGCTAACATGTACAGACAGAAACCTGGAGAATATGTGTGGGAATGGCTACTGAAGGTGTGGGATAGTGGTGCAAGGAATGTAAATTGGATCGGTCGGAATTTATTGACTTAGGCCCACTGAGTATTGATTCTTTGTTCAATGTTTCAGCTCAGGAAGTTAGGAAAGGATCTAATTATTTATTTGGTTGGCTTATGGAAGCATGAATTATGCAGTGGCCTACCTTAAGTCAAGTTGAAGTACCAGACCTGCCTAGGTATAATGTAGAAAAAAGTATCCAGAGGCTTAGGGAAACTAGCATGTTAGAATGGATTTATTAGATTAGATCCCTAAAGCCAGAAATGGAGAACCCAGAGGACACACCTTTTACTACTACAGTGAGGAACAAATTTGTGACAGGAGCCCCAGCATCCTTGAAGACTGCTGTGATTGCTATTTTATGTAAGCCAGATTTGATAGTGGGAACTGCCCTAAGTGAACTAAGACATTTAACTATGATGGGGCTGACTGGACCCCATGGTAGTAGGGGCCAAGTGGCAGCAGTTAATCGACCAAGACAAGGTGGGTGTGGTTACCATAATGGACACAACACAAACAAGGCAACGCACTGCTGTCAAGTCAGATCCAACTAATAGCAACCCCGCCTTGGGTTTCCGAGGTGGTATCACTATGGAAGTAGATTGTGCACCCTTCCTTCTGAGGAATGGCTGGTGGGTTTGAACTGCCCGCCTTCTGGTTAGCAGTCAAATGCCTTAGGCACAGCACAGTCAAAAGAGTAATCAGAATACTCTGACTTGTGTGGAAGTATGCTATTGGTTACTTAGGCATGGTGTTCCTAGGAGTGAAATACGTGGCAAATCTATGAAATATTTACTTGATCTGCATAGACAGAAGAATTCTAGGTAACGTGAACAGAAGCCTAGATTGAATCGCCAGAATACAGAGTCACGGCCTCTCGATCAATTCCCAGACTTGAGTCAGTTTACAGACCCACAACCCCTTCAATGAAGGGGAGGCCAGGTCCCCTTGAGGAAGGACCCCACTACATTGCCAAAAATTTATAATGTCAGTCTTTCTCCTAGCCTTCCCCAAAGGGATGTGAGGCCTTTTAAAAGAGTGACTGCTCATTGGGGAAAAGGAAATAATCAGACTTTTTGGGGATTACTGGATACTGGCTCTGAA